GTTGGACTCGAGGAAGTTTGTCAATCTCACATACACAATTTTTTCAAGGATCTTGGATGCAAAAGGCAGTAGCGAGATAGGACGATACTTGGATGGGGAGTTAGGGTCCAGATTGGGCTTCTTTAGAATTGGGGTTACAGTTGCATGTTTGAATGGCAATTGAAATATACCAGAGGAGAGAGAGAGATTGAGAATTTTAGTGAGAGGTGGAGAAAGAGAAGAAGACAGAGTACGGATGAGATGCGAGGGAATTGGATATAGGGAGCAGGTGATGGGGCGGGAGCACTGGAGCAGAGCAGAAACCTCTCCCAATGTAGCGGGTGCGAATGAACATAGAACAGCAGAGGGAGTGAAGTTAGGAGAAGTATTGTAAGGGGAAGAAGAAAGATGAGAGATCTCTTCTCTGATTGTAGAGATCTTGTCAGTGAAGTGAGCTGCAAAGTCTGAGGCGGTCAAGTTAGTAGGTGGAGGAGCAACAGCAGGGCGAAGAAGAGAGTTAAATGTGTGAAATAATCGTTCGGGTTTGCGGGAGAGTGTGGTTATGAGTGTATTGAAGTAATTAACTTTTGCAGAGGAAAGAGCCAAGCTGTATGAGCTCAGCATAAATTTATAGTGGAGAAAGTCAGATGCACAGTGAGACTTTCTCCAACAACGTTCAGCAGTTCTGGAGCATTTTTGGAGGTATCGAGTGAGCTTGGTGTGCCAGGGTTGTTGTTGGGGGGCCTGCGGTGTTTAAATGTACAAGGTGCCATGATGTCTAGTTGAGAGGAGAGGGTGGAATTGTAGAAGGAGGTTGCAGCTCTAGGACAGGTGAGGTTTGAGATAGTATTTGAGGTTTGAGATAAGATTTGAAAAAAAAGTTAACTGTAAAAATCCACATTTCTATATCTACCTCTATCTTTGGCCTGAGTGCCTCCATCTTGTTTCCCTGCCAGTGATAGTTAAAACTCTGTGTGATGGACAACCTGGTCACCCAGGACTCATGCATGGCTCCCAGTCACTACCTTCTCCTAAAATGACTATTTTCACACACTCATTTCCTCTCCAGGCTGTGTCTCCCATCTCAGCGCTCCTGTTCAGTGGTCCAGAGGATCTCAGAGACTGGCAGGGAACTTGTAAAGGCATGGTACACCTGACCGGGAGCAACCCACAAATCTTCTGGAACGCCAGATCGGATCGCAGAGTTACCACGATTCGGTCAAACTTTTTCAAAGTCTCTCTCTGTCTTAGGACCACCAAACAGAGTAAGGCATTGAACAACACCAAATACTTGAGGAAGCTCCATGTACAAACTGAGAGCGCAATCATCAAAGGTGACCAGGCCTTTCCACCCAGGACTGTGGAACTTTGTGCCGGCTCGTGGAATGTTTACAGGCCTGTCAAAACTGGTAAAAAATGATCTAGACTACTCAGGCTAGGCACCTCCGATCTGAGTGCATTTCGGACTGAATGTCTGTCTAGGGGAGAGCTACCTGGGGATGGCACTAGTTTGGGAATGCTTGCACAGGAACTTCTGTTTTCAGAGTGTTGTTTGGTGTGAAGATGTTTGGCCATTTATAAGGTTAACTCGTTCAGTACAGACACCCAGGAGCCAGGTGTTGCATAATGCCATTGTTTCTAGTTATCTCATGTTGGGGACCCAGGTATAAAAAGGTGACAGTCACTCCAATAAAACACACTTGTTTCACCCTTACATCAAACCTCGGCTAATGACTAGGGATGAGTTACAATCACTCAGGAGCTAATTACTAAGGGGGAAAGTGAGTTCTTGGCAGTGATACTACGGTCCCCTAATAGTATTCATTTAACATTCACTGATCAGCCACAACAGTAAAACCACTGCCTAATATAGTGTAGATCCCCCCATGTGCTGCCAAAAAGTTCTGATGCATTGAGGTATGGAATCCACAAGACCTCTGAATGTGTTCTGTGGTATCTGGTGCCAACACATTAGCAGCAGATCGTTTAAGTGCTGCAAGTTGGGGGGTGGAGCCTCTATGGATTGGATTTGGTGTTCCAGCACACCCCACAAATGCTCATTCAGATTGAGATATGGGGAATTTGGAGACAACTCTGTTCCTTAAACCATTCCTGATCAATTTTTGCAGTGTGGCAGGGTGCATTATCCTGCTAAAAGGGGCCACTGCCATCAGGGAACACCTTTGCCATGAATAGGTGTACATGGTCTGCAACAATCTCTAGTTTGGTGGCATGTGTCAAAGTAACATCTACATGAATGCCAGGACCTAAGGTTTCCCAACAGCACATTGCCTTGAACATAACACTGCTTCTGTCTGCCTTCTTCTCAGAGCGCATCCTGCGGCCCTCTCTTTGTCAGACAATTATCCCTACATCCATACCAAGTAAAATAATGCACACACCTGGCCATCCCAACAACTTTCTTCCATTGATCAATGTTCCAGTTCCTGCTCATTACCCCCATTGAAGGCGCTGTCAGCGGTGCACGGGGGTCATATGACCAGTCTGCAGCATCACCTTTCAGTCATAGCCAGCATTCTGTTTTTCAGCAATTTGACCTAGAGTAGCTTTTCTGTGTTCTGACCAGATGGCTAGCCTTCACTCTTCACATGCATCAATGAACCTTGAACGACCATGACTCTGACCCCAGTTCACTAGTTGTCCTTCTTTGCACCACGTTTGGTAAGTACTAACCACTACATATCAGGAACACCCAACAAGACCTGCTGTTTTGGAGATGCCCTGACCCAGTCATCTAGCCATCACTATTTGGCTCTTGTCAATGTCACTCATCTTTTCACTTACCCATTTTTTTTCCTGCTTCAAACACATGATATTCAACAACTGACTCTTTACTTGTTGCCTAATATATCCCACCCCTGGACAGGTTCCATTGAAATGATATAATAAATGTTATTCACTTTACCTGTCAGTGGTTATAATTATATAGCTGATCAGACTAAGTTATAGATGATTTTTAATTATTTATTTAAGGTGTAGTTTTAATTTTTATTAAAACTACACCTTCCCTTTAAGTATACAAATATATTTTTAATTTTAGCAACGTACCAGCCGCAATAAATATTTATCATCACGTAATTCAGAGGAGTTCTTTTCTTTTATCCCAGTACTGTTGGTGTTTATATTCTAACAAAAAAAAACCTTTGGTACTGGAAAATTAATTAAGCTCAGCTTTAATTAAATACAAGTCATTTCACACAACCTTCGAGTAGCTCGTACAATATTTCTAGTGGCTTTTCTTAAAGACTGTAAACAAAGAACCAGTGACAGGTTTTCCAAAACCCAACTATTTTTTTATCTGGTATCCTTATGTATAAGGACTTTGGATGCTGAAATAAAATAATATTAAAGTTTACTAACAAATGTTACATGTATAGTATATGTTTAGATTTAGTTTGCACTATTTTATTTATTTATTTTTTTTTACCAAAAGCTCAGTTTTTCTTTACGGAAAGCGTTTAGACACTTTGGGTGCATGGAAGTTGTCCAAACAAGAGCTTTGGTTTTAGACACAACAAATAATAGGGGCAAATATGTTGTAATGGATTGTGGAGGTCAAGGATGAGTTGTAGTTCCCGTCTGGTAAAAGAAATCTGTCATATGGGGCTAGGGCACACCATTTATTTTTTGTCTGCTGTGCATAGTGTGCGAGAAGAACAGTACTCACTTTAATGTGGGAACTGTGAAGTCCTCGTCCAGGGACAGGAAACCTTCAGCACTATAGACTACATCTTCCCTGATGCTTTGCCAGAGTTATAGCTGTAAGAACATTATGGGAGATGTAGTCCACAACACCTAGAGTACCGAAGGATGCCTACCACTGCCCTTGTCATTACTTGCCGCCTCCCACACTATGTTTGTATTGGCGGATAGGAAAGACCTTTGTCTAGGTCCTATCTGGTTTCCTGGAGTTTCTGTGAATGCCCAGCTAATTCCATTTAATTGTTTATTTATTTCAGCAGAGTCCTGGCAGTGCTGCAGTTACAGATTTGTTTTGAGTGGTCAGTGGCCAACGATAGTAGTGGTAAACTTCAATGTGGCTCTCTTTGATTTCAAGGGAGTCACACAGTAGGTTTATAATGTTTTTGAAGAACTACTCACCTGACAGTATCCCTCTCCATTGGCACTTGTTTTTCATGCAAAAAGTTTGCCCAAGACATGCCGTAGCTGCCTAACAGCTTTTCAAAAGGTTTTACCATCTCTAATAACATATTGCACATGTTGTTACTATTAGATACTGTACTATGTATGACGTGTATAATACAGTATTATTTATTTCTTATCGTCTACATTTTTCTTTCTTTCTTTCTTTTTCTTTGTAAAGAAACACTTCAAGCGCCAAGATCACTACAGCCCACTGCAGTGGTTATGGCACTGGGAGTGTCCTGGTGCCATCCCCGACTAATCTTTCAAATAATTTTAGAATGGTTTGACAACTTACCTGGGGTCCCCTGGGTGCTCAAGCTGCGTCTGGTAATTTTCTGCTGGAGAAGCTGGATGTCTAAACGGAACTTGGCAGGTGTGGAAAATGACCGCAGTCTTTGGCTGACAGCGCTAATCTGATGCTCTAAACCAGTGAACACAGCTTTGCATGGGCCTGCTTAGCTCAGTAAAGTTGACCTTTGCAGCCGCAGAAGCCTAACATGACTCACGTAAGTTGCCAAACCATTCTAAACCGGTTTGTAATTACTCTGGAAGGATGCCAGTGTACTCCTGGCACCTTAACCACTCCAACAGGCTGTAGTGATTATGGTGCTTGGAGTGTTCATTTGATGTCTTACAGGGCCGGACTGGGGATACAAAGCAGCCCTGGAAAAAAAATTTGTGCCAGCCCCATAAGTCACTGCGCCATATATTGTCGCGTGTAATATGTAAGGCTATGTCTTGCCAGGACAGATGATTGAGCTTGTGTTTTTATGTCAATGAGCTGATGTATATCAGTAAGATTGTTTGTCTATGAGGCTGTGTATCAATGAGCTTGTGTGTGTCACTGAAATGTCAGTGAAATTGCCTGTGTCTGCATGTGCGTATGCTTACTGTATAATTAAGGTTTTATACAGAAAAGGCCATATATTGCTTTTTCTAATATAAAATATTGGTCCTTTCAGGGTAAAAACGTTTAATTATACAGTAAGCATAATACACATGCAGACACAGGCAATTTCACTGGTATTTCAGCATTAAATACAAGCTCATTGATACACAGCCTCATAGACAATCAATCTTACTGATATACATCAGCTCATTGACATAAAACACAAGCTCACTCACTAGCAGGCACACGCATGCAAGCAAGCTCACTCACTAGCAGACGCACACACACAGCTTAATGTGGTGGTACTGGTGTCTATAGCATGTCCCTACAGGCTTTTCAACGTAAACACTGACTTTTCAGAGAAAAGGCAGTGTTTACATTGCTTCAAAGTGACATTGCTAGTGACAGTCACTCAGACGGTCACTAGAGGTGCTTCCTGTGTTAGTGCCCTCCCGCCCTCGCGCGCTGCTGAATGACGCCATATTCCGGCGCCGGTCTCATTCAGCTGCGTGCTGGGGAGCAGAGCCAGCGCAGCTCGCGCAGCTCCCTCAGCGGCCGCCAGGACAAGTCCGCCAGCGGCCGCCAAAAGACCTCCCCAGCGGCCAAGGGAGGGCTGGCAGCCTTAGGCCTGGGGGGCAAAACCAGTCAAGTAGACTGGTGCACCTGCCCAGGATCAGAGCCGGTGCAAGGATTTTTGCCGCCCTAGACAAAATAAAAATTTGCTGCCCCCCCATGTGACATCACAATGCCCCACCCATATGAACTAACGCCAGTGCTGCACACAGTGTGTGTTTACATTAAAAGCCTGCAGGGACCAGCTATAGACACCAGAACCACTTCATTAAGCTATAGTGTCCCTTTAATGTGAGGTACATTATAGATTAGTGTCACTAATAATATACTAGATTGCCTACTTACAAGCAGATGAGGATGATGATGGGCTGCAGTTTGGCTCTACTGGTCTGGTGTAGAACAGGATCTCTGGAGGCTGTTTGCAACTGTGGTCACAAAATTCAATGTTCTGGGAGAATTGGAAGCAGCTCAATTTTTTTGGGGCCCCTTACACAGCTCAAGGCCCATAAGGCCCACTCATAAGTTCCACCCACCCATGAGTTCACTCACAGGGAGTAGAGTGTGTAGGGGATGTGTTATGTGTTATTGTAGAGGATCTAATATGTGTGCTTATGGTATGTAGTGTTTAGGGTTACCAGTTTGTGCAGGTGATGCAGTGTGTTTGTGTGTAGTGGAAGCAGTGTGTATTTGTGTATAAGGGATGTATTATGTGTTTCTGGTTGTGTGTAAGGGATGCATTGTGTGAATCTGTGTTTGTATGCATAAGGGATGCAAGGTGTGTCTGTATGTGTGTGCATTGAGTGTAAGAGATGCATTGTGTTTCTGTGTGTATGTAAGAAAAGAAGTGTGTGTGTTTGCATGTGTATGTACGGGTTTGCATTGTCTGTTTCTGTGTATGTGTGCAAAGGATGCATTGTCTTTGTGTGTAAGGGTTGTATTGTGTGTGTGTGTGTGTGTAATGGATGCATTGTGTGTTTCTCTGTGTGTAAGGGAAGCATGTTGTGTTTCTGTGTATGTATAGGGATGCATTGTGTGTGTGTGCGCGCGTAGTGTGAAAGAGCTCCCTGTCTTGGCCCCT